TATACGTATATATATACGGATATAGATATAGATATAGATTATGTACAATATAGATACAGATATAGACATATTTAGATATAGATATGGATATATATATATATATATATTATGTACAATATAGATATAGATATAGATATAGATAAAACTATAGATATAGAGTATCCATATTGATATAGGTATGATCAAAAGTATAGATATATATATGTGGCTAATCAGTGTGATTCAGAATGAAGTACGTTTTTGAATTAAAACTGCATACCCGTACTCACGCTTAGCATCTTCGAAAGTGCTGACCACACTAGTACTCGGAACGTCCATTATCCTTATTTCAACACTAAACTTCTCAAGTAACTGCGTGCGGAGATAGGCCATATATTCTGGCATGCTGGCGACTATAGTATCGTAGTACCAGCCCCCGATATGTTTACCTTGCACCACCATCTCATGTTCACCGAGACACGCAGTCTGTATTATGTAATATTGTGGTCAGATTCATGGGTGGTTGGAGATGTGTTCGAGATTGTATATCAAGTACCACAGCAGTCAATTGGTTTACCCGGGTATATGCATACAATAGGCTCAAACTTCTCAATGATAGGGGATGCAGTGCATGTGGAGGTAGACTAAGTGAGAACCAATCTAGTACATGTGCAGGGTCGCAACACAGGCAATCTACACGTCTTATCGTGCAAATGGAGTGGACACAAACATACAATAGCGCACATATATAGGCAAGCCTGCAGAAAAAAAACTATAGAAACATACTCCTATAGTAATGGACATAAAATCGCGTGCAAGCACGTGTATATCAAAACAGTTATGCGCACATACATCGCTGTGTGTGTGTACAAGTGTGCATATCAATTGAATTCTCGATGCATCAACAGTACGTTGCGTGTGTTAAAACTTAACAGTTTGCGCATAAACACTTGCATTGATACGTACACCTGCACGTACACAAGCAATTTTCCAATAAACTCCAAACTTAGATACAGAAAAACGCTAAGACACGTCAGTCACAGGCGAGCAAAGGGTCCCTACGTCCCGTGCGAAGAACTCAATATGCCACTCCTATACACACAAATCATTGTCACAAAGGACGGACTCGTGCATGCCTTCAGACCAACTTCCGCAGAATACTTTGGTATATCTGCCATTTCCGCCTCTGAACCCTCCCTGAACATCTGCCATATAGGATACCATCTCAGACCTACGCTACTGCCTAACTTATTTGTCTCGTCAATTAAGCGGTTGCGCGTGTTCATGCACAGGGGTGTGGTGATTTGTTCGGGCTCTATATGGAAGGGTTCCCAGAGTCCGCCTGTATGTAAGTAATTGTATATAAAATAAGAATGTAT